GACTCATCTAGGGCTGGTCTCCATGTACTTAAAATATAATCCTAGTTCACCACACCTAACGACCCTGCCCACTCTTCTCCTGTCCGCCTCGGACGCCATCTTTCCCGCTGAGTCGCCGGGCTGCGACAACTGCTAGACCAGTTACAACCTGGTTCTTGAAACGGAGGCCGCGCACGGCAGTAGGTGTCGGACCCGTGGCTTCCTTTGTGCAGTGACGCGCTCCATATCTTTCGAAGGAGGCCATACTGTGCATTCCTGTTGATTGGCACCACGCGCTCCACAAAGCGTAGCATCTCGCTTCTTCCTGCAAATCCTGAGACAGGCAGTGAGAACTGTCGTCAACTCTCCCAGACTGATCGCTTCAACTTTCCACCAACACCCCCCCCTCAAATTAAAGTCAGCTTGTATATTATAGGGTGTCAGAGCTACCCTAAACCAGAAATAAACTCAGTCCATGTTTCTAAATTGCTAATTTTATTTCAAGATGTGTACGTATGTACTTAAAATAAGCATGTGTTAATTGTATCTTAAAGTACAAAAGAGGCATACATTTTCAAGAATAATACTGAAGTCTATAAAAGAAAACATAATGTGTCCTCATTCAGGCATTATCACTGAAACTCCAGTCCCTGCGGGGTCATGTTTAGGATATCTGACACAAAGGGGAAGGGGTCCTGGTGCATTGTGGGGAAGTGCTGGGCAGTTCAAACCCACTAGTCACTCTGCAAGATAAAGATGTGGCAGCCTCTGTCCATAAACACACAGCCTTGGAAACCTTCATGGCGGTTGTACTCTGTCAAATAGGGTGAATGGGAATTACAATCACCTCAATGGCAAAGGATTTGGTTTTGTGGAGCAGATGGTTAAGTGCCAGGCTGTTTATTTATAAGCTGGAGGTTCAAATTCACCCACAGACATGTTGGAACAAAGTCTGGGATATTAACCTCCACTTTTGAAAGGTCACTCACTCACTGCCCTTCAGTCAATTCCACCTCATTGCTCATAGTGACCCCATAGGACAGGGTAGAAGTGCCCTTAAGGGCTTTTCAGGCTGTAACTCTTTACAGGAGTAAGAAGCCTTGTCTTTCTCCTGCAGATTGGCTGGTGGTTTCAAACTGTGGACCTTAAAATTTAGCAGCCCAGTGCTTCATCTACTGTGCACCAGGGTTCCTTTCTGAAAGTTCACAGTCCCTGAAAAACCTTTACATAGTTCTACTTTGACAATTATGGGGTAACCATGAGCCAGAATCTATTCAAAGGCAACTGATTCTTTTATACTATTTTAAAATCATCTCTCGGTGTTAACATCATTACACATTATAGAATATGTGACAATATTTAATGAATAGCAACATTATCTGCAAAAACTTTAAAAACCAAGCCCACCGTGATTGAGTTGATTTCAACTAAAAATGACCCTATATAGGGTTTCCAGGGCTGTAAATCTTTAGGGAACAGATAATCTCATCTTTCTCCCACAAATTAGCTACTGGGGTTGAACCTGTTGACGTTTAAGTTAGCAGCCCATTGCTTACAGATGCCAACAGAGTCACACTTGAAAAGACATCCCTTACTTCATACATACCATTATTTTAAACCTTCTCTTTCACAAACCATTTTACAGAAGATGCTCAGAGATACTAAGTAGGAAACGTAACTGGATTGTGACACAGCTCAAAGATCAAAGGGAGAAAAAGCAAATGGGCTTGTCTGATTCACTGTTTTATCAAATTTGATTGTAAAGAACATGCAAACTCCCCATATAGGTAGTCCAATAAATAAGTCAACCGTAAAACGGTTGCAAATGAGTTGACTTCTACTCAACTCTAACTGTCCATAAAGATTATAACTTTGAATTTTCAAAGTTTATGAAAGCAGGCTTTATGGAAGTCTTTATGGAAGCAGACTGCCGCATCTTTCTCCTGCAAATCAGGAATAGACTTCATAAATAAGCAATAATTTGAATACAGTTTTTAAAAGTTTTTGTTTTTGAATTTTTTTTCAAATATCCTCTTAAATATTTCCCAGCATCCTCAGAACCAGCAACCTTTCATCTGAAAGCCCAAGGAAAACAGCAACCATCAACGCAACAGGTGAAACAAAACTTGCCAAGTCTTCCTCAAAAAGAGTAAAAGTTGTAGATGTTGTCCCTGTGACAAAATCATCTGGTAGAAACCCCTAAATAACCACCCGCTTATTTTGAATCATGTTAAAATGATCCTGCTGATTCTTAAACGTCAATAGAAGCCATTTGATCACCTTTTAAAAGATGGTTTCAGAAGGCATTCCACAGGTTCAAGAATCAGCGCCAGGCTGACACTGCAAAAAGAAATAAACAGTACTTGGTATACACCTGACTTTAATAACCTTTAAGCTAGAATGAGGAGCAGAAAAGGTTTTGAGAAACGCATTTTCTTTTAATACACCACGCTAACAACTCGGGAGAGCCTTGCAGAAGGGAGACAAAGTATGTAGAGGTATTTCTCAAAACTCGCATCCCTCCCTCCCGCAGCCCAGCGGCGGCGCAGTACAAACCCCGCTGGGCCCGCGGACTCTTCACCCCCGCGTCTCAGAGCCCAGCAGTCCGTCCCCACACCCCCTCCGCCCCCCC